CTCTCTCTCTCTCTCATTCTCTCTGAAGACGTTGCTCGGGTTGAATGTTGAATCTTCGATCGAAGTTTTGGTCTCAATCTGCGATCAACTGGCTTGTACCACAACCGATCCACTGGACCACCCGTCCTGCGATCCGCTTTCCTGGCTTTCCTGAGCCGCGATCATTGGATCATGGACCAGCCCGGGGGGGGAGGTCCACATGGATCTTCCCAGATGGATGAAGTTCAGAAGGAGACTCCTTTGGGATCCAACTGAGACTGTGTGCTATCTTGCCGCGTGAAACGGCTGCATGATTCGACCATCCAATCATGTGAAGATCCCAAGATCGGCTCTGCTATGCTGGGTTCCCCAGGCTTGGAATGACCCCCTTCAAAAGCCCGTTCGAAGCAAAGCGTCTGTACAACAGTGATTATGTAGCTGAGTTCAGACTTCAGAGACACCAAAGCACCTTCATATCATCAAACTGTAATGATCTGCCGAAGCTCTAAAACACCTAAACCAAACCATTGTTTTCCTCCAACTCATCCTATATAACATCCTGTCGAATCTGCTAGTTCCGAGTATCCTTGGTGGCCTTCAAAGCTTCGAAGTCGATGTCTTTCACCTTCTTCGTGTCGGCTGCCTCGGACAGGGCTCCCATGGGCTTCCGTCCAGCGTCCACTGTGATCATCAAACCCAAACACCAAGGTAGCCTTTACACAGGGACGCCTTGGTTCTTTTCAGGAAAACACATTAAAACATATTAGAATATTGCAAACAACTGCAAAAAGACTTGTGCTAGTCTTATTGGTGCGTGCAGGAGGTCCAGATCAGGCAGGTCAACCTTCGATCATCTGAGGCTTGCGGTTTGGGATGCCCCTAATTGGTGCAACAACATCTTCTTTACTTGGTGGTCGATGAAGGCTTTGAGAAACTTGAGAAAGGTTTGACAGCATCAGGCACCCGTTTTTTGCAATGCCTCTTTTTTGGGCACAGCCGAGCCGACCAGGTCGTTACAGTAACCAGCAGGTTCATCGCAGGTCGTCTCCCAAAGCTGAGGTGGGACCTGTGGAACCGAAAATGCGGGTCCCACAAGCACCGAGTGTGCCTCATCGGCCACCTCACAGCTGTACTTGGAGATGCTGTTCACCTGAACCGATCGCTGAACCGGTCGCTGAACCGGATCGTTACAGGCGGATCGGACGGGTCCTTCGGTGCGATTCATGGGGAGGTCGGTGAATGTCTCCATTATACAACCAGCTTGAGTTAAAGGAAAGTAACATAGATTCAAACAGCTTAAGATGATTCAAGTATGGTTTTGACGTGTTTGTCAATGGTTTATCATGCACGATTTCTGCATTGAAGGTCCTGGAAGATTCCACTGGATATACTGGGCAACTGAAGATGGATATGCTCAACTCCAAGAAGGGACAAAAGATTTCTCTTCTGGGCCAGGACAGCCTTTGAACTTCTCACTGGTGGAGGCTCCATTACCTTCGGTTTGAATGGTGCATTACCAAAACCAAACAGGAACGTTGTGGAAATCTACTTGCGCCTCGGGCACTCTGATATTGTCGTATTTCTTGCTTGGCAGCTGTCACATCAGCCAAATTGTCACAACATGTAACGATCAATGAACCAATCAAAGGACCTCTCAAACAAAGCTAAAGCTTGAGCACCAGCTACATACCGGTATGCAACAAACAAGCATGAACCCGCAAACACATGGAACGAATCATCGACAGGTACACGAGTTCGGTTTTCCCCATGTCCCATTCCAAGTCGCGATCCGGTCCAGGCTGCCATAATTCTCCACCTGAAACCCAGCTGTTGGGCATGGAATGAAGGCATGGACCCCCAAGCCCAAATATCTGGAAATATCGGGCTACAGCATGCCAGCAAAGCACAAAATGCCTGGTAAAGTATATATTATGCTCTTCCTCTTGTCTTTCGTCCGTCACCCCTAAGGCTTCTTCCTCGAAACCAACACCAAACGTCTTGGTGCTCTCGAATTGAACGTCTTTGACTCCATGGGCCCTGCAGGTTCTTGCGCTTGGGCGCCTTGAAGAAAAGGTTTCCGTTGGTGGCCACCTCCTTGAGCTCCTGACATCAACGGGTGCGAAGAGCGAAGAGCGGTCGAAGGTCAGTGAGTGGGTGAGTGGATCTGACAACGGAGAATAACATGTAAACCCTTGAGAAAAAATACAGTGAACAATGAGAAGAGATGCAAAAATCATGTAAAATCATCATATATATATATATGCCACACATTTTTTTGGGATATGCTAACGATGGTTTCTAGCCTATAGCAAAAGGAGCAGCTGATTCAAGATGAGCGGTTTGTAGAATCCCAGCACAAGAAAAACCACATTGTCAAATGAGAAGCTCCTCGATCTTGGCCTCTTCGCCAACAGCAACACCTTGACATGTGTCGGTCAAAAATGCTTGGAAGACGTTCTCTCAAAACAAGCATATAGAGGCATCTCAATCCGAGGGTTATGATCTGGGACATTGAACCATGCTCGAAACTGCATCCACCATGAAACCATAAAGAAACCAATAACACCCACTTTCAGTTGCTCGTCTCCGGTTTTTGATCATGACAAAGCAAACCAACCAAAGAGTCTGCCAGGACCTGACGAGTCTGCCAGGACCTGACGAGTCGAGCCACAAGTGCCCGTGAGGTGAAGCAAAAGAAAGAGCGGACCTGGCCAGAGCCCTATGACCCAGTCAGACCCAGTCACGCTCATAACTGGTTCATCAAACTTTAAATCACCAACCTTCAATCAGTGCGGTGATAGCATGTGATACCCGCAAGCTTTCAGAAACGGTGCTTCCCACTGTGTCTTCAGAGTCCATTTCAGGCCAAGCCACTCCGACCAAGCATGACGATGCCACTTTGCAGCAGTGACACCGACAAAACTGCTCAGCAGCACCCATGTTGAGAGAATGAGTCAGTTTCTAGCAAATATAAGTACTATGTTCATCAGTTTGGAGGCTCAGAAATCTATATAAGACCTGTTTCAGTGCCCAATTTCTGGTGGGGTGGATAGTATATATATATATACACACACTACATGAACTTTCGTGATATTAATTATTAGGGTGTTAGATAGTATATTATAGTATACTATAGTATGATATCCACGCCTTCACAGGTAAACCGGTAAACCAGCTAAAGCCACGGCCGAAAAAAAAAAAAAAGAAAACGTTGTCCAAAAGCCAAAGAGCTGAAGATGATGGTGTCGTCTTCCTCCTCCATCTCTCGTGCCAGTTCCGTGGAACCATCATCCACATCCCCGTCGGCGATCATCACCACGATGCGCCGCGCCTCGTTCACGGGGTGAGAGTCTCAAAGGGTCTGGTTTTCGGCATTCAATTGGGGACCTGGGAAAGAAGTGCAAGACAATGGATGTACTGTAAAGCACTTGTCTCTATTGTTCTGTATACTGTACTGCACTTTACTGTACTGTACTTTACAGTATTGCTAAACACAATCATGACCGTTTTCTATGTTATTGTACTGTACTGTGCTGTAACGGCTACTGTATAGTTGAAAGGGGACAGAACAAATGCGCCCTAAAAGAGGGCTGTT